TTTTCGATAATGAAGTCGTTAACGAATTTACTTTTTATTTTTTGACTTATCCATTTACGTAATTTGTGAGCAAATATGCTTCCACTCATGTGTAAAAAAGATTGTGAAGAAGTTACATCCTTAGGATTAAAATATGAAGTTTTATTTTGAATAAAATTTTACGTAATAATTTCTTTCCATTGTACAATTTATACATTATATGACATTCCTAAAAATTACATATCAAAGATAAAATTAATTTGTAGTGTTAAGTTAAACTTAAAATTTGGAGAAAGTTTTCACAAGTTAATTTATTTTTTTCAAAACATATTGAAGAGTAGAAAGAAAGCAACGTTCCATGGAAAGTGAACTCATGTCAATACCTTGGCAATAAATGTTGACAACATAAGCACTGAATCATTGTTGGGCACGTCATAGGTTGATGTGAATGTTAAACTAGAATTTATTTAAATTTTATAAATTACACACACAACATGATATAATCTTTATTCAGAAGCTATGGTTTGCGTTTAGGCTTCAACCAAATAATTTGAAGGAATGAGTATCCATCACTATTCACCAATATATCTTAGCTTTTCCTCATCAAATTGTGTTGCTTCCTCCTCACCAAGACCTGCATAGGGGAGAAGGAACCTCTTCTTTAAACAGGCATGCCTTGTTTTTATGATCTCCTCCTCCTTCTCTTTCACAGCCATGGAAGAATGGAACATGCTTGCCGCTGATTGCGTGGTCATATCATGCTGCTGCCAGTGCTTGCTGCTGCAAATTCTTGTCTTTCTCATGCTGAAGCTTCCCTGGAAGCTCATCAGGAAAACAAGGGAATATGCTAAGAAAAAGCTTCGTCAAAGGAAGGGAAACGATGATAAGATGAAGATAGAATCGGCTTGTTATGAAGATGTTCTTGTGAGAATTCATGAACAGTCTTTTAGAATTCAAGGAGAGATGACAGTGAGAGATGGTGAAGGTTTCGGTTGTGGTGGTTGCATGGATGAAGTTGAAAAGATGATGGAGGAGTTATATCAAAAGGGAGAGTTTGGATTCGGGAGCTTCTGGGGTAGGGAAGAACCATGCGGATTTGCTGTTCCTACAAAAATTCACAATGATCCTAATCTTGTAAGATATCAAGTTGTTGATTTATTGATTAAAACTAATGTCCACGCATAGATTAGGTTAATTAATTTGCATAACATTTTGTTAAAATGCTTCCTTTGTTAAATGTAAACATTGTCATGTCACCATAAACATAATCCGTTACGCAATGCTAATTGAATCAACTTTTTATTCTCTATACGGAATCAATTAATGTGATAATGATAATATTATTAAATTTTTCATGAAAATTTCCACATGGTAAAGTTTATAATAAGATATATAATATTTTATATGTAAATTCTAGCAAAACATGGTGGGCAAGTGGCAATAGTCTCACTCGTGTTCTCAATGGGTTCCAGTTTTTGTGGTAATAAATAGAGCGAATGTTTTCCTAAATTTAAGTTAAGAAAAAATCTAACTGCATTATGATCTTATCGTATATATCCAAAACCTCAACTTTTCTCTTCTCACAATTTAGAAATGTAGTTACTTTCTAGACAACAATTCCAACCAGACATGCATTAAATATAGGACCGATTTGTTCCCATTTGCAAAGGATTTGCAGACAAAAAAAATCCACTCATCACACCGTTATTTATTTTGCAACCGTTTCGCACGCGCTTTCCATCTACCTTTGAACCGTTCCAAATGCGAAACGTGATCCATCGTTGTGAAAGACGGAAGCTACCATTCTTCTTCTCTCCATCCGAAGAATTGAAGAAACAAGAGCAAAACATCATCGTTATCATCTTTCACCGTCAAAACAAAACAACGTACACGTACGATGTCAATTCAGGAAAGCGACCAAATCAAACAACTCAGCGACATATTCAAACGCTTCGACATGGACTCCGACGGCAGCCTCACGCACCTCGAGCTGGCGGCGCTCCTCCGGTCCCTCGGAATCAAACCCACCGGCGATGAGATATACGCGCTGCTCTCCAACATGGACGAAAACGGCAACGGATACATCGAGTTCGACGAGCTCCTGCACGCGATCATGCCCGACCTCAACGAGCAGGTTCTCATCAACCAGGAGCAGCTGCTCGAGGTCTTCCGCTCCTTCGACCGCGACGGCAACGGCTACATCACGGCGTCGGAGCTCGCCGGCTCCATGGCCAAGATGGGCCATCCCCTCTCCTACAACGAGCTCACCTCTATGATGGCCGAGGCCGACAGCAACGGCGACGGTGTCATTAGCTTCAACGAGTTCGCCACCCTCATGGCCAAATCTGCCGCCGATTTTCTCGGCCTCCATGTCGCCTAGAACCTCCTCCCTCTTTTGCTTCGTCTTCTCTTTTTTTCTGTAACTTCTTTAGGCTACGTTCGCTTTGGGTGTTGACTTCTGTGTATATATATATATAAACACTTCTCCGGACGTGAATGCAGATTCTTCTTGTTGCTTTTTAATAAGAAAATATTACAAATTAGTCTGCAATATTTTTGCTTTTTATTTGTCACTAATTTTCTTGCACTTTCGAAATGCTACATCGAGGAATCTGGTGATTGAGTGATGAGAAAACGTAGAAGATGAGATTATGTCAATGAATTAGTGCCCCCTGTTTTTTTTGTTGGTGTCTTTTGTCCCAGTTTTTCAAGCTGATCTTTTTCTTTGATTTATTCTGCAGGGGATCCATACTCTCTAGTTGGTAATTCGATCAATCGAGTAAACTTGGTAACTTCTAACAGTGTACAACTAAGTTGACAAGGAGCTGATATAGATTCTCAATTAGAACAAGAATTAGTAAAATAAACAAATTTACAAGATTGCTTCACACAAAAAAATCTTCTCAGTAATAGGATAACTTTGTTTTCTACAACAGCAAGCAGCTCTAATCCAATCTTACAAAGAATTGGTCTGTCTCTATACAGTAACTACTATGATACAAGTGGATAAATGAATTGTTTGCAGCAGCAAAATGGCCGAAACAGATATACAATTTTATTTTTCTTTCCAGCCTCAGTCACAAATACTGGTCCTTGCACCATGCAATCACCGTGGAAGTGGATCTAACTTGTAAGCAACACTCCTCTGGTTCAAAGGATCCAGCAAGCAATTCCATGACCACAGGCAAAAAAAAAAACTACATATTTGTAGGAAGCTGTACACAAACTAACTAAATGCTTTCATGGTTAATTTGTCAAAATATCTTATCTACCGTTTAACATTTCTGTCTCTAACGTTGTGAGCCTTAGCAGCCAAACGTGCTGTTGAACCCACTGTAGTTGGCCGCAATGATCTCTGCCGCACCATATCACAAAACTCAGGATCCTTAATCTTCCCTTCATACCTTATCCATTGTACTAGTTCATGGTACATGGGAAAGAACCGCATCTGAATTGCTGCGTAAGAGAAGTATGGTATAAGGGTTGAGATAACCACAAAGAATGTCACAAGCCAATAGGAAGGGGATGGAGCAAGAGCTTCAATGAAGACTTTGTAAGCATCTTTACTAAAGTGTGGGGGTATTGCTCCATATACCATGAGAAAAATATACCAGAAAAGAATGGAACCCCAGATGAAAAAATGTTGGATCAAGGTGAAATAACTTATCGCTAGTGCCATTTGCAAGTTTACAACCCAAACTATACAAGTGTACATTGTTACTCCCAGTATATCCTTTCCAGCAGTTCTACCTTCTGCATCGAAGGCCTGGAGCTCCATCGCTTTTGTGCAGAAGAAGAAAATTATTAAGGCACTGATAAATCCATTAAGCATCCAGCTGAGTATTCTACGCCAGCTGAACAGAACATTCTGTACTCCTTCTTGATATAACAAAGGAAACTGCCATATTAACAACATATCATCGTCAGAGAAGAAGCAAAGGAACCGAAATCAATCAAAAATCAATCCTATTTCTGAGGTAGGTATTGCATCATAAGTACTATGCAGATTTTTCATTTACTTATTTTATTTTTCTGTTCTATGTGCAATCTATTTGATGACAAAGCAACAGTGAATTTTCATTTCACGCTCATTAGCAAAGAGGATGGTATCATAGGCTAAAACAAACTGACCTTCAGGCAGTACCGAGCGGATACATCCTGGTCAAACACCCCAAGTGCAACCACAGGAAGTGATGAAAAGAAGACATTATACAGAGACAAAAACCAGTCATTGTAAGCTGGTTGTCCAGAGAATGATGCATACACCTCATACAAGAATAGAGTGAAACCAAATGTGATATTCTTGTAGAAAAAGTAGCATATCTGCAGATGAAAAAGTTACCAGACTGTCAGAGCCTCTATCTACCATGTTTAGGATTAAAAGCTGAAATACAAATATTGTAAATACCATAGACGAGATCCTTCTGTAACACCAATGTCCGTGAACCAGGAGTAACCGTTCCAAATACCGGAATTGTGCAATTGCAATATCACTAGACATAACTGCCTGGGGAATTGGGGGAATTAAACAAAAAGTATTGTTCAGAAAATCACATGAAGAAATCAATAAAGAAAACGAAAGAATATTTTGTGAAGCTTGGCATTACCTGCATTCCTTCAACACCACTTATACCAACCCCTATATCTGCTTCTTGAAGCATTCCCACATCGTTAGCTCCATCCCCAATGGCTAAGGTTGTTTTCCCAGTTCCAGATTTAACCAATCTAGTAACCTTAAAGAGAGGAACAAGACCAATCAATTCTGAAAGCTTAGCTAACCAAAAATTACCATCACGATTAGCATATTTATTATAAACAAAGCACAGATTGAAAAATACCAGTGCCTTCTGCTTTGGGGATGAGCGACAACAAATAACAGATGCACAATGCATCGCTAGCTCCAGAAACATGTTCTTTATATTGTCTTCAAGTGCATAAACAAGTGATTTTCCATCAATAATCAGAGCAAATGCCTTCTGAGAGCTCCCTCTGTACGCAGTGAGTTGTGCAGCAGCTTCAGATATCTGAAAGAGGACACTTTGCCTTGATGCCTAAAAGAAGAATCAACAAACAAATTTAAAATCTACGGCATAGTACTACAAGTTTTAAGGTGAAAAAAACTGTTGCAGTAACTCCTCCAGGCACTAGTATCATTAACAGGGAGAGGCCCAAACGTGTGACTCACAAGCCCAAAGGCTGGGATGATTTTATTCATTATTAGATATTGAGTCAGCAAACTTCTAGAAACTGTTGTGTTGTGCATGTTTGTTACGGGAATAATGTTGGAGGGTGGTTATATACGATTGTAATTTCTGTTTTGAGGATATGAAAAAAGTATTTTTCTCCTTCCCTTTTCTATTCAGGAGTTCTCTCTGTCCTCGAATACAGAGCTCTTCCCATATCTCATCATTTGGTGCTCTCGTTGCTTTCTTCGATGGCGGAATCCGTTCGCAAGACCCAGTCGGAAAAAATGGATGAGATGCTCCATAACATGTCTCTTGTCATCTNTCTTATATTGTTGGGTCATCATCAATTGCTGCCGTAGACGAAACATTATCATCTCGTGAGGCCATCCTTCAGCTGCTGCAACAAAAACTACTCAAGGCACAAATTCGCATGAAAGAGTACGCAGATAAACACCGCAGAGACGTGATTTATGAAGTGGGTTCTTGGGTGTATGTCAAGTTACAACCCCACAAACAGATTTCCCTCTCAGGTTCCAAGTACCATAAATTAGCCAAACGCTACTATGGTCCATACAAGGTTTTGATGCGTATTGGCCCAGTAGCTTATAAATTAGAGCTGCCTTCATATGCCAAAATACATGATGTCTTCCACTGTTCTCGTCTGAAACCCCATGTCGGTCCTCCCCCGGTGGAGGTTGATCACCTTCCCCCTAATTTCGTTGACAGTCACCCCCTCATCACTCCACTAGCTATCCTTGACTTCAAAATTGAAGACATTAATAACAAGCCATCCCGCTTAGCTTTGGTTCAGTGGCTGGGTCTGTCCCCTGACGACACATCTTGGGAAAATTGGGATGATTTGAAGTCTTTGTACAACCTTGAGGACAAGGTTGAATCTCATGGGGAGGGTATTGTTGCAGTAACTCCTCAAGGCACTAGTATCATTAACAGGGAGAGGCCCAAACGTGTGACTCACAAGCCCAAAGGCTGGGATGATTTTATTCATTATTAGATATTGAGTCAGAAAACTTCTAGAAACTGTTGTGTTGTGCATGTTTGTTACGGGAATAATGTTGGAGGGTGGTTATATACGATTGTAATTTCTGTTTTGAGGATATGAAAAAAGTATTTTTCTCCTTCCCTTTTCTATTCAGGAGTTCTCTCTGTCCTCGAATACAAATGGAAAGAAACATAGTGATAGAAAATTTACAATAGCATAGAGCTTAAGTGCAGCAATTAATATCATACAACTCAAAGTACACAAGCATGCAGGAAATTCTTATATCTTCTGAAATAGAAAAGAAAAATGGTATGCTAATGCAGTTACTGAAACTCTTAATAACACATTTCAATTGTTCTGTTAAAGAAAAGACAGTGAAACAATGAAACATAAGTTCAAATTGTCAGAAATATAAAAGGCAGGTCAAGCTGACATGTTAGCTACATGAGAGGTGTCATTGAAATATTGCAACGTTGAAGAAACCAACTTATTAGCATGTTGCTAAATATTTTACTAGAAATGTAAGCTACACAGTGATAGATAAAAACAAAACTATGGTATGAAATTTACTTCACCTTGGCAATGGCCATCTTGTCCCCATCTTTCTCTAGTGCTTGAATTTCTGGACTATCCAAATGAATTATAATCTGCTTCATCCCTTGTCTAAGCAAACTGCAAGCAAAACTACAATGGAATATTTATGTCAGATAAATATAAGAAATATTTATAAATATATATAAGATTATTTTAGAGAATCTTAAATTATCTCTAAGGATTTTTTCTTCTTAAATATTTTGATTTGTTTCCTTATTTAATTAAGATCTTCATAATTATAGGAATAGGAATAATTTATCAGAATCAGATTTATTAGAATATGATTTATTGGAATATCATATCATGTATGTCTAGTCATGTTAATATACAATGGAGTCTGTTCTACAATCCGTATACACAGTTTTCAGCAACTCTTTCATCTATTTTGCTCTCTTTCAACAAATACCATAGTTAAAAGGGCATAATCAGAATATAATACCCAATGTTGATTGCAGTCTCCATTTTATCCCCAGTCAAAACCCAAATTTTAATTCCAGCTTGGGCAAGCTTGTCAATGCAATTAGGAACCTAGCAACAATACGAGAGGCATCAGTTGCTGCCCCAATGAGTAAACATTAAAAGGTAAAACAAGTACTTTTATTCTAGCTTACCCCATCTTGGAGCTTGTCCTCCACAGCAGTGGCACCAAGAAGGACCAGGTTCTTCTCAATCTTATCTGCTACTTCCTCAATCAGTCTCTCCTGATCAGCACTGACTAACTTCTTGGCCTTGGAGAATTTACTATCAAACTCCTTGTATTCTTCTGCACCAAGCTCAC